GTTTTCAATATGATCTATTACTTTTCCTTAATTCCCATTTTGAAAGTTTCCCAAGTGGATCATGTAGGTTTCCTCTCATCTTACTGACATCATTTCTGAACACAGGTACAGAAGTAGTAAAAAAAAAAAAAAGAAAAAACAAGTCACGTGTCGCATAAGTGATAACTGGACACATGAGATCTAAAAACAGCCGAAAACACTATTATTTCTCAAAGTGTAATATTTCAGTAAAATCAATTAGCTGTGGCTCTTCACCAATTATCACTGAGCTGACAGTGTTAGCGTTAAAGGCCAATAATGGGTATAGTGATCGTGCCACATTAATTAGGAGAGGAGAAGAGAGGACGAGCTATTCCCTTATGTTCCTGAATAAGTAGCGGAGCTGGAGCAGGGCCCCTGGGAGCCGACAGGAGCCTGTCTATATCTGGGAGGACAGCACATAAGCAGGAAAGTGACAGCAAAAAGAAGTGGTAAAAAAAAATACCTAAGACTGAAGAATCAACTACTATCTTCAAACATGTATGAAGGAGGTCAAGTAGTAAAATATACACCTTATTTTTTACTTGTGAGGAAACGGGATCTCAACGGGGATCTTATGACTACAGCTTTTCAAAATGGTGGACAATCATAGATGGCAGGGGGAAAAAACACCTGAAATCACTCACCTCTGCGGGCCCTTCCCTCTTCAGCAGATGCATGTCGAGGGAGGGTGGGCTTCCAGTCCACTTCTGCAGGCCGACTCCTCCTGCCGTCCTCAGACGGGGCCTTCTGCAGCCCGGGCCTCTTCTGCCCGTCCTCAGGGTGAAGTCGGCCCCCACGTCTGCCCTCCTCCATCTGCCCGTGAATCTGGCCCTGCCAGACCACGTTAGGCTTCCACTCACCCTCAACATGTGCACGTGACACCACCCCTCCCCCTCTCCACCCATCCTCATGCAGTCCTGTGCCCCTGGAGCCTGGAGCTCCCCGGCGGTCTCCGTTTGAGCCTGGAGCTCCCCGGCGGTCTCCGTTTGAGGGAGAGCGTCCCCTGCGGTCGTCTGGCTGGGGGAGCCAGGCCGGGTTCATCCTAAAATCCGACTCTAAGGGGAGTTTGCCCTGGTTGCACGGGCTCCTGCCACCACTGACGACTCCCCCACCTCCTCCGACACCAGTGCTCACTGGCAGAGTGTGGCCGTTCTTCACGTAGGGCTGCTTCATGTTCTGCGTATCTGGATCTGCTTCTGAAAAAGTTGTACGGAAGAACATGAGTCCTTGATGAACACATAATTATAACGCATTAAAAAACTCAGATCCAACACTAAATCAAACAAGTGCACCAGCAGAACAGTAATAACTAAATACTTATTCAATCTAAATTATTCAATGTTTTATGCTGGTGTGTGCAATGTCTTTGTTTGATATTGTAGAACATTTTGGTCGTTTATTGTCCCCTCCCTCTTGAACTTACTGTTTTATCACTTTTGTTGTATTGCATATACAACAAAAGCAATAAAACAGTTAGTTGATTATCAATTATCAAGCAAAAATGCCAAATATCTGCTGGTTCTGGCTTCTCCGATGTGAGGATTTGCATCTTTCTCTGGTTTACATTGTTGTATATTGCATACCGGTTAGTTTTGAACTGTTTACAGTCTTTGGGCTCTCTATAGTGAGAAATAACAGATTGAACAGATTAATCATTAATGAAAATAATCTGTAGTTGCAGTCCTGTTCCATGGTAAAAAAAAGGAAGGTGCCCTTAACCCAAGCCCCGTAGACAAAGTCTGTGTTTGTTGGTGTGATGAAGGAGCAGCTGTAGGTTTAATAAATGGGCTTCTGCAACAGCGGGGCCTGCATTACGCTTGCTCACACCCCTCTCAAAGCTATTTCGCTGCAGGGCACAATTCGTTCTACTTTTCCTCAGCTCTGGAGAGTGGCATGCCATTTTAAACAGATATTGCATTACTTTGAAAAACAGCAAGGTGAAAGTAAATTTGCCTTTTTAAAATATGTCTCAGACACCTGCTGGTTAGGAGGACAGTGTTCCTGCCATAATGTACTGATGACTTAACTGTACTGTCTGTGTGGGTGTGATAGCCTCTGGGCCGCTGCCGTCAGATACAGACACTCTTGTGAAGAGAGATCAGATGAATCACAGAAGCACTCGTTCTTACCGTTGTCCGGGACCTCCTTCAGCACTCCCTGCTCTATAAGCTCCTGCCGCGTACGCCTCGTCGACATCTTTCTCTCCAGTTCTGCCGTCAATAAACAGAATTTACGTTACACACAGTGTTGTCTTTTTTCAAGATCTCCAGGAGGAAAAAATACTGCAATAAAAACACATTTACTGTGTGACCTCATGCTCCAAAATACAAAGATTGGAGTTTACAGCTCCTCAGTCAACAGGATATTTTGTTAGCAGCCTATTGTCTTATTGTAGGTGCACTGAAAACATTAGGAGAGCCAAATGGGGCCTGTAACATTCAGGCAGGAACACATTCATTGAGGAATTTTGATGAAAACTGAATGTAACTGATATGACCAGTGAGGAAGGAGGGAGGTTCAAGAACACAATGAGTTCACATCACAAACCTTCTGAAGTTTCCTTGAACTTCTCGCTGCTTTTCTTCTTCCGCCACTTCCACGGCTTGAAAATCTTGCCAAGGGTAGAGAACTTGCCCTTACGCTTTGGGGTGCTGTCCCCCGTGCTGCCCCCCTCTCCCACCATTGTGCTGTGGTGCTGCTCAGCGTCATCATCTAAAATAAAAGCAGTAGTTTAATATAAATCCAACAGTTTTAAAGACATTTAAGAGTGCAGATCCATCAGCAGTCACAATATTCTGACAAAGGATCTTTCCATTCTAGCTGAGCTCATCTGCTGCGTTTGTAAAGAGGGCCGTGCTCATTATGGGTGTTATTATCTTTAGCTGATAGTTCTCGGGGACTGAGTGTGCTTTGGCAGGGTGATGCTGAGAGCTCATGGACTCCTCCACATATCCACAGTTAACAGGAGAGGTCTGATGCTGGCCTTCAGCCAGGATTTCTCGCTGTCAAGTGCTCACATTCCTTGGCTGGATGAAGACTTGTGCCTTATCAGCCTTTCAGCCCTTGCTGCCTCTATAGAGGAGAGAGGCTCACACATGGATGGCAGTCATACCGTTGCAGAAAAAAAAACTCAGTCAAACACATACAGCTTACAACCAAGAAGTAGACGTCTTAAAGAACGTTGGTCCTTATGATATGCCATTATGGCTTGAAGTACTCAACTAAATGGCATTCTGCAGTCGTGGTTACATATTCTTGACTACGTGATTGACAGGCCAACTGACAGGGTGCTGAGCTCGGAGAGGGTTTCAAACATTAGCTCTTTCAAGGCTGCAGCTGCTAAGTTCGGCAGACATAATATTTACCAGTGGAGAGAGAATGGGGTCCGATTTAAAACATCCAGTCTCATGCACACACAGGATGTCTTGGCAACAAAAACGCCTTGCAGTCTCATTCCCACAACAATATGCTCTCACACAATACCTACAAAACTAACGTGGTGTACTTAGCAGTCCAATAAAGAACACAGAAACACAATAATAATAATAATAATAATAATATCATTGCTGGGTGGAAATTGACTCTTCATTTGACACACACGGCAGGATCGTCAGGGTTAGCTACGGACCAGCACCCCTGGAGCTGGCAGGGTTTCAGTATCTTGCTGAGGGACATTTTAGCATGGTGGATGGTTGCTGACACAGGATTCAAACCCATTTTTTGCAGCTGAAGGACAGAGTCTTTAACCGCTACTCCACACAGCTACTTCAATGCTGCTGGCGGGGTAAAATTTGAACTGAGTGCTTACTTAGTGTTTAAAAGCCTGACTGCTGGTAAAACCTCCAAAACAATTCAAACCAGAACTGTTTAAACTCATGCACTACTGCCAATGCTGTTATGTCCCGAAAGGTGAAAAGTCTTTCAATAAACAGACACCAGTCTACCTGGAAAAGGGGTGTTAAGTGTCCAGCTTCCATGATGGCGGGACTTGAAACAGCATGCCATGGGGAAGCAGGGAGCATTCGGTGACCCCCAAATCGACTCTCTTGTATATATCCCAACAGAAAATGCCAGAAGGACAAGTTGCAGCGAGCCGTTTGAAAACTACAGCAAAAAGGGTCCGGGTTCGAGGGACATGTCTGCACCATGGAAATCCAGCTTATCTTGGCGAGGTAGAAATCTGAGGATTCAGACCAGCTGCCATAACATCCAGATTAAGCATTGCTTAAGGCAGCTTCCCTGTGAACCAGAACGGAGGTTCTCATACAGCAGACTGCTCTGTCAGAGAAGCCTCTGACACAGTGGCTCAGCTGAAGCAAGTGAAGCAGGATAAGAGCTGCCTGTGCCAGGCCTGCACACTCCAAAGCACTGCAGAGATGACGATCGCAGAGAGGACTCAGCCCATGCAGCAAGCATCTATTTGAAAAGACGACTGACCATGTTCTTAGGAGACTTGTACATTAGTCAGCGACGCCTGATTATAAAATGTATCAATCCAGAGACACAAAAATTCCCCTCCTCCTAAAAAAGACCAAAAAAAAAGTATGGTACATCCAACTCAATTATCACATTGAGGAGAGCTGTGGATCCACTCAAAATCTTTCTTCACAGATACAGAGAAAAACTCTCCAACATGTCATTGTTCCAGTGGTAGTGAGAAGAGGTCTGGTGTGTGGTGGCACTACAGCTGTGTGTGACTGTGGGTCTGGGAATCAGAGTAAATGGTAAAAAAAAGGGCTACAAAGAGAAAAAAGTACAGGAGTTATGGAGGGGAGGGGAGGAGGGGGGGTCAGCCTGGAAACACAGGGAGGAAACGGCACTCCACCCTGATTCTGTGACCGAGAACAAAGACAACCTCTTCCCCTCACATTCAATAACAGTCCACTGTACTGCTCATGGAAACTCAGCGCTGCAAGGTACGACACAATGACACCAGTGAAACTAATTAATATCTGGCTGTTAAAAACATCTAGATTTTTATTTTCATTCAGAACAAGGACAGGACCAGAATTCTAGTAGTCAGTCTCTGTAATCAGGAGCTGTGCCAAGATAACGCATACCAGTCAGGAAACATGGGGGTGGGTGACACTGTGTGAGTGTGTGTGTGTGTGTGTGTGCGCGTGTGTGTGTGTTGCTCTGACGTACCCCTATCCTAAAGCCACACCTACCACTCTCAGACATCTCCATAGAGGCCATATTTCCCTGTAACCTCATGATTCAATGAGTCATGGTAGGCCTGGTCAGGTGAGCATGTGGTTAAAAGGAGATTGTTGTTTTAAAGGACCCGGCCTTTAGCCAACCTGCTAGCCAAGCCATCCTGATCACTTACATAAGAAACCCCCTTACACGGACTGCACTGGTTGGGAAATACCACCAACCTCATTATAACCCCAACCCTAGCCAGGCCAGATTATGGAATTTTAATCTACTTAACTGACAGCACAAAGAGGTTATAATCATTGTGATTGCTACTTGTGGAGTCTTGTGCACCATGAAATCATTCAACCCAACAGCATTGTTGCAGTAAGTGACATAAATGTCATTAGAGCATGCTGTTTATGGTAGGATATATTTAAATCTGTCCTATGAATTCACTACTTGATACTTTGTCAAACTCAAGGTCCATAATTAAAGATTAATTGTTTAGGTTTACAATGTATAATATGAAGAACTGCGATAATCAAACAGGAATTGATCCCAAATAATGTAAAACTGTCTGACACAATCTCTATTTCCTATAATCCCTAAATAAAAATTATCTTTTCAGTATCAAATGTCACTGAGCAAATAACTCAAACAAAAGATAATAAGTGAATCAGCAACACATGCATGAGTGTGTAAATACACAGCTGCGATTCATTCACGTGATTCCAATGATTTAACATTCCTTATGGTGGTGAAAGTGAAGGGGGGGTAGAGACAGAGGAGACTGTGCAAAGCTGAATATACAACCCCCACCCTTATCTTTGCTCTATGCTTCAATCCATTGAATAACTACAGAATAGTAAACCAACTTCATGATGTGTATGTTGCTGTTGAGGAATGCACAACTATGTGAAGTACACCCAGAGTGAACGAGTGAGTCCTGAAACTCACCGCCATTGTTGTGTTGTTGTGGATCCTGAGCTGGGGTCTCCACACGAAGGCTCTGTCCCATGATCCAGCCCCTGAGGGGCCTCTACCTGTCCTGCACCCAGAAATGTGCGCACTACACTGGACAGATCAGCAGCTGCACCTGCCTTCCTCCTTCTTCAACAAAGTCCCCTGGTCTTCTCTATCTCAGGTCTTTTCTTCTTCTGTGTTTCTCTCGTCTACCCTTCCTCTACGCCTTTCAGTACAGTCCTTCCCCCGTCCCTCCCTCTCACAATCTCCTTAAGACCTTCCCTCCCTCCAGGAGTTTGGACTCCCTCCCTCCTTGGCTCATAGCACAGGTCAGCATTCACTGAAAGATGCCTACCATTCCTCAGAGAAGGACGAGTTATGTTTTCAATTTGATGCGTGCGCTGTGGTATGCGGTCCAATGTGTGCATCAAATAATGTATGTACAAAGTAATGTATGCTATGTGGTGCAGCAGGTCTCAAGAGAACAAGGACTTGCATGTTCTTAAAACTCTGATCCATACAAAACACAACAATAAAAACAGACTTAAAACCACAGAGCTCAGACCACATTATATTCCCTGAAAGCAGTTCTCTGCCTGACACACTGCTGTCAGTATTTTCTTGCCTTCCTAGCACTGACATGACAAAGAAAACAGAAGATAGAGATATGGACAGTGTCTGTAAAAGCCATTCTTGAATTAGCAATGCATCTAACCAGATAAATAAAAATCTTAATTTAGTCTGGATGTGAAAGATGAAGCGGAAAATAAATTGGAGCAATTTTAATCAATGCCCTCAATCAGGAGAAATGTTACACCCGTTCAGAGACTTTTTGTGTGAGCTGTGTAAAGGTCAAGTGTGTCTAAGATGCTGCTCCCTCTCAACCAATAGACAAGAATCAGCAGAATTACAGCTGCTACTATGAAGCCGAACTTAAAGGAGGAATGATGGATCACAAGGAAGATGTGTTGATCAGACGCACGCTGCTGTTTCTACATCCAGCATACACGCTAATATTAAGCCATTACTACTCAGAACTAGCGGAGGGTGTTTATCATGCCGCTCGCCTCCCTTAATGTCTCCAGACACCATTTTATGCACATCTCCAAGTCTCTTATCACAATTTGAACAGTCTTGGAGGCATTAGCATGACTTTGAATCATGTTTGCCAAGGAGAGTTGCCCTGTTTGGGGCTTGAATATAGAGAGGCAGAGCAGGAAAGAAAAAGAGACGACTTTCTGTAAACTAAAAGAAAAAAGGGGGTGTTTTGACTGAACCCCCTGAATTAGTGCTTTGATTCCTTTTGAGGTTTGGATGTCTTCAGAAAACCTTGTCCCACTGCTCCTCAGAGGAATCCAGAGCATTGAGCTGTGTCATTATGCTTGGATAGATCCGAGTTTGCTGAGCGTTTGGCTGCATCTCGAGCTATTTCTAAAGATGGAGAGCTAGTGTATTCGGCAGCGTTCCTTTTCTCTCCCTGTGCCCCACATACAGCCTCCACACCGGGCCGGCTTCCAGAGAGAGCTGAGCCAATCCGCATGAGCCCAGAACCTGTTGGCCTGACCTGGATAACAGACTGGGCCAGGCCACTTCAGCAGGCAGGCAGACTGAGGCAGGTACACACACACTTACACAGCCCCGTCTAATGTGGGGGGAGTATGGAACATGCCCTATGGATGCTGCTATAAAGCTGTATCACTGCTGAGAGTCTCATTCATGTCTTAACATATGCTTCATATTTTTGTACAAGGACACATTTTAAATGTTTATCTATATGGACGCCGTCGTTTATTGCCCGAGAAGCAAGTTAAAAAGAGAAACCGAACGCCAGCATCACAGGGATTAAACGAGTAAGGCCAGGGGAGAGAACAAGCAGTTATTTTTAAATGTAGGGTTGGTTTAGAAAATGCGCATTTGGACATTTTAAACAGCTTTTTTTTGGATGATTTGTTTAGAGCTGCACGATTAATCGAACTGTAGCGATACCCTGGCCTATAAATGGTATTGATGTAAGAAAAAAAACACATTTGTTTGCTACAGACCCCAACAAATGTCACCTCATCATAATTATTTTCTTTCAGTGAAAATAAAAAATGGTGATGCAAAAAACTGATTGTGAATCATATCTCAAATGCAGTATCTGTCAAAATAATCTAATAATTTAACCGTATCGTGCAGCCCTAGATTTGTTTTGCAAAAGAGAACTGGTTGACTGAAGAGCAGCACACATAATGAAGGTTAACGCCTCCTTTTCCTGCACAGCTGACGGCCTTTACAAGAGAGGAGACGGTTAGTGTCAGAGTACGAACGCTTGAAAGCAGTTATAGTAAGTCATACTTAAACGGTGACACAACCAATATTCACTGAACCATCTCTTCTGCAACACATAACATACACACACACACACACACACACACACACATTACACATAGACTATGTTGACCAGGGAAAACCCTAAGGCCAAGTTTTGGTAGGGGAAACTGATCCTCAATCAGGCCCTGAGGTTGAGAAGATGTATGGATGAGTCCTGAGTGGCTCATAAAATGTGACAGAGCCTAGACAGACTCCATAAACACAGTGGATGAACAGCGAGACGAGTGGATCTACAACTCTCTCCACAGCATTAACACTGCACTTAACGAACCACAATGAGCAACTTGGTACTCACCACGATTTTCCATTACAGAGTTTGAGGCACACCAATCAACGGTTCCTGAAAAACAACAGTTTGAGCATCAACACCAGTTTAAACAGTGAGTAAGTCAAGCTAAACCAGTGTAGTAGAACCGGTAATTCGGTTTTCCATCAAACATTTTTCACTAGTGATGCTCATAAATGAACATCAACACTGTGGTCTTGGATTCATAAGATATTTAGTCTTAAATGTTTTCATTAAAATTCCTTTAAAGCCGTAATTAATCTTTCCAGTTATAAAGAATCTGAAGCATCGAAGTCAAACTGATCTGGGAAAGAGAAACCCAATAATCCCTGACCACTTTCAAGCCAAATTCAAAATCAAACTGTATGTAGTTTCTTCTATCACACAGGAAATACAGTATATTTATTTATACATAACCTTTATCATTTTAGGATCATTATAAATGACCTCAGAGAAATTAATTATTTGTGGATTTGGGTAAATGTAAAGAGGTATAAACGTACACTATAGAAAGTCATGGGTGGAGTGGGGGTGGTTGAGGTTCTCAGCAGCAGTACAGCAGTTTCTCTTTTTTTCAGGTCTCCAGCATGCTTAAGATGGCAGCTCCACCCATCTTAACCCCTCTGATAAAAGAGAAACAAAGAAGATTAGATCATAATTAGTCATAAACAGAAAAAAGTGAGGATGCACGTATCATCACTACAAAGAACACTGACGTATTTAAACCAGGAAAGGGCCAGAGAAGCCCCCACTCGCGCTCGATATGAAGTGCTGCATTTTTCTTATGCAGACAGATCAAAATACAAGGTGGAAATGGGGTTTAAAGGCCCACAGCATGAAGATGACAGACCAAGCTTCATCTAGGATTATTATTATTTTACATCATGTGCTTAAGGGCCAACACCAGATACATTTTTAGTCTAGTAAGAGTTGAGCTCACATAGCACCT